AGGAGAATCTTCAGGTATAGGCGGTTGTGGTTAAGGAGACTCCTCTTGTTTTGGTAGCTCAGGCTTGTTTTCTGGTTCTTCCGGTTTAGGAGATTCATGCTTTGGTGGCTGAGGTATAGGTGATGGTTGTTCTGGTGTTTTTGGTGTCTGGGGTTTTGATGGTTTTTGTGGTTCCGGTTTAGGTGATTCACTAGGCTTAGGCACAACCGGCTCTGGTTTTGATGGCTTTGGCTCGGACGTCCTTGGTGGATTTGGTGATGGGCTAGAGCCACCGTTGCTACCGCCAGAACACTTGTCCTTGCTACAATCCACGGGACGACTAACCACGGGCAAACATTGCTTAGCAGGCTTTTGACTCGGTCTATTCTGCAAGCAATTGTTGGTATCATCAAATTGTTTCCCATTGTTTCTCCCTGGAATACAGCTCTCAGCTTCTCCATTGAAAAAATTGTAAGAAAACTTGAAGCTCTCCAAATTAGGCAATTTGCAAAATTTGTCGACAACAAATCCGGTGAGCTTATTATGCGATAAATCCAACTGCTCAACGCTAGCTAAACCGGACAATGTTGTCGGTAAACTACCAACAAAACCGTTCTTGCTCGCATCAAACACCGTCACATTGTTAAGCAAACCAATCTCGTTTGGGAAACAACCGGTTAAATTGTTTCCAGTGAAGACAATCTCATTGAGGTTCTTCATATTACCAATCGATTTTGGGATACAACCAATGAATTTATTGTTTGCGAATGTCACAACCGATGCTTTCGATTTCCCAATTGTACCCGGGATAACCGATTCAAACCGATTGTTATTCAAAAAGATTGCATCAAGATCTTTATCAAAGATCTCTGATGGCAAACTTCCTTCGAATTCATTGTATCTTAGATCAAGAAACTTCAAAGAAGGCCACGAGAGTGAAACTTCAGGGAACTGACCAACGAATCGATTGTTGCTAACATCGAATTCATACATCAAAGCGAGTTTCGATAAACTTTTGGGAATAATCCCACAAAACCGATTAGAATTGATGTGAAACAAAGCTAGGTCCGTTATAAGGCCAAGCTCTGGTGGTAAATGTCCGGCTATATCCGCGTGATTAAGATCAACTCCAGCTACGACCGTGAGGCTATCATCATCTAGAGCAGGTGCACAATAAACTCCATTGTAAGAACACACATCAGAACCAACCCAATTGGCTGTAGTCTTAAACGGGTCCGAGTAAATGGCTTTTTTCCACGCTTGAAGAGCAATGTAAGCTCTTTTGAGACGATCATTTTCAAATTTGAGGTTAGGGATCGACTTTATTGACGCTAAAACATTTTTGTTCTAGGTCATTCGTGAGATCCGCATTTTCGGGGAAAGAAGGTTCATCGTCGAAGGTGGCAACGACGGTATATGGAGATAAGAAGGAGGATGAAAGAAGCAGCCAAAGGGCCTCTCCATTTTTGTTTTTAATCATTTTAATGAAAAAACCTTGGGAAAGACCCAAGG